TGAAAGGTAGGTCAAGTTCTGGGCCTACAAATCTGACCTTTACTTTTAACATGTGTGCCTTATATGAGAAATTCCTCAGCCTAAACATGTTAAGTTAATCAGCAGTAGAAAAATGTGAAAATTAGGTTGTTAATAATCTTGATAGCTTTGCATTTTAGTACATTTTCTAACATCAGTAAACCATGGCAGCCTACTTTGAGATCTCTGGTATTTGGGCAAAGTGGTTGCTTTAGTTACTGTCAGTTTGTACCATTAAAGGTTGTTTTATGAAAAGTTTGAAACACATTTTAACAGCCTGATTATGTCAGGGAGAGCTTTCTTACCCTGCAGTCCTGAGTATGCCTAATGGCATTGGCTTCTTCCCCCTTGGAGGGTAGCACAAACAATGCCCCTTTGTTTGAGGAGCAGGAGATGCAGGTTGGATTTGGGAGGGAGGAGGACACTACCCTGCTTAGGTAGCTTCTTTCCAGTTTGAAAAAATACATGTTGTGCTCAGGGTGGTCTGACCACTTTTAAGTCCCCATGCTTTCAAAGGTGTGGAGGTGAAATAATTCACAGCCCTTCCACTCCTGTTTTTTGGGTTGCAAAGCTGGATGATGAGCTCATTAATCCCCTTGTTTGTGGGACCCACAGTCAGCTGTGCACATGGCTGGCCTCCTCTCAGGTTCTGCAGCTGAAAACTGGTTTTTCAATTCTCAAGTTTATTTCCATAAGAGCTGGACTAGAATAAGGTTTTGATAAGGTTTTTTCCGGGAGAGCTAGTCCAGACTGCAGCTGTGCAAAGGCACTGCGCTGTGAGCCACATGGTTAATAACTGCTGCCTAAGGACAGCTGCTCTGTCTGTCTCTGCACCTTATACCTGGGATTAATTTGGAAAAATTCCAGTACAGTAGCTGTTACTGGGATAAGAGCTTCCCCGGCAGATTATTTCCACATGGAGGCCGTACAGAAACAAACCCCTGACTAACAGCTATATTAGAACTGTTAGGTTTTAGGAAAGTGTTAAGTTTTTTCTATAATACATTTAGATAACCTTAAGGGCCTGACTTACACCCAGCAAAACCATCAAGTTCAGAGTTAAGGCTTCTCACTCCATCTCTGGTACCCCGCTGGAGTTCTTGGCCCTCCAGCAGGGGGATTGTGGAGATCACACACTGTCCCTGGATCCCTGCTCACCCAGGCAAAGCCTTGCCCATGTGAGTGGTGCCCACTGTTCCAGGTAGGTGTATTTACAATACACCTGCTGTCCTGAGCAAGGTGCCTGTGTGTCTTAACACTCCACTGGTTTCTCTGGAATGTTAATGGCCAGTGGCAGCACAGCAGGTGTGGTGGAAAGCCAGCAGCCAGAGGGGGAAGGGTACAGGTGCAGTGAGAAGCTTTAATTTTGAGTTTCCTGCCTTCTGTGAGCACGAGTCAGACCCTTAACGTTGTTTTAATGTATTGTTTGTGTTTAATTTTTAGTAAAAATTTGAACACCATCCAGGCTACAGAGGTTGCAGTGGATAAGAAGTATAAAAGCTTTGGTTCAAGATTACAGGAGGCTGCAAGAAAAATTAAAGACATGGAAATGAGGATGGAATGACAGGCTGCTATTTTGCCTCAGAATACTGAAGATTGTAAAGCATTGAGAAATCGAATTCATGATCCTGGAAATCAAGCTCAGATTAAGAAATGTCAGGTTGGTAGGGGTTCCTGAAAGTCTTGAGTTAGGATAAACTAAGATTGTTTTCCCATAACAGAGGTTATAGGATGTGGGGGTGGATGGTATAATTTTTTTTTATCTGTGTAACGTGAAGTGCTATACCATAATACTTTTAAATCAGCCAGCTAAGTGAAATTATTTCTTTAAATCAGTTTCATGTTTGTCATGTTGAATGTCACTTCTGACCACTTTGCAGTTACTTCTCTCTGGCACGGAGTTACATTATTCACTGTAAATGCAGGCATGGAAAACACGGCTCTTAAATCCACATTGCTTCTGCCGCCTCTGCGAGGGTCTCCTGCAAAGCCAGAGGCACAGTGCAGTGTGGCATTCCTAGATAAAAACCAGGCAGAACATATCTAAGTGCTGGAAGAGGAAGCTTTTTGTTCAAAAGGTTCTGATTCATAATGAAGCCACATCTTCCCAAATGTACTGCCACTGGGATGCAGTTCCTGTAAGTTAACCCAAGTGGGGAGTTACTGCCTGCCATTCAGTGGCAGGATATTTAGGTAGAAAGATTGTGCAACAGGAAGTCTGTGCTGAAGTTCAGAGAGGATTTTGGCAAGCAAAGGTTTGTAGGATTTTTGTGGTCAAGGTCATTAGATGTATTTGAGTTCTGGGGATTCTTAACAAAGCCTTAAAATCTCTCAGGGAGGGTTTGTCCTTCTGGTTGTTTTTTGACTTCTGTTCCTATGCTTTGGGGCTTGCTCTGGCATTCCCCTTAGCACCAGTGTTACACAAGTAATTTGGTTGAAATCTTAGATATACTGGCGTGAGGGGAAAACCAGACCACACCTTTATATATTTTAGAGAAATCATTGTCTGAAAGGGCTCTGTTTAGTGCTGTAACATTTCATGATTTTTTTGAGATAGCTCAAGTCAGAAAAGTGTTTCTTTGAAGTGAGAATTTTTAATCTCATCTATTTTTTTCAGTTTGAACTATGTGCTCTGACAGAGGTGCTTTAGTTGTAGCTCTGAGGGAATCACCTGTGCCATATTTTTCCTCATTTATCTGCAACAACTTCAGTATCAAAGTTCTTAGTTTGTTTTTTTAAATTTTATTTTAGGTAGCATTCAGACTTGTTATTGAAGTTCTGGCTTTGCTGTACTGACAAGACCATGACATTTCAGTTGTTGAGTGAGCACAGTTATTCTATGCAAAACGAAGAGGTCTTGCAATGTCATTTTTGCATTTGTTTCTAGACATAATTGTATTTTATTAATGGTGTTTTATATACTGTTTAAAAAAAAGTGAACAAGTACATAACATGCTTTATCCTAGGATATTTTTATGCAAATTTAATGTGAAGTTTTATAATTAAATCCCCATTAAAGGATAGAATTGTTCCATTAGTAACTTAAGTATTTTTATGTTGTATAATCCAGTGGTTTTGTCCTGTACCACATTACTGGTATGTGGTTTATTTACTGAAAATGTATGAGGCCGTATTTGGTTCAAACAAGTATCAATAATAAGCGTTCAAGATGCACAGTTTTCAAAAATGACATATTAATGTCTCCCATTTAGTTTTAGTGGCTGAATATTACTGAAGTAATGTGTACCAAAAGCATTTCTAAGCTGGTCTGTCATAGTACAGGTTAGGAGTGGGTGTTTTTGCAAGTGTCATTTTTCCATGACAAACTTTGCTGGTGGGTGTTTTTTTCCCATCTGAAAAATAGTGAGGGTACTGCAGAGTCAGTCAGTCCGTGGAATCAGATGTGGGGAGATGCTGGAAGTAGAACAGAAAAAAACAAATGTAGGGACTGTTTTTGTCATGTCTTCAAGTATATAAACTGTTTGGTTCTAGGTAAAGAATTTAAATGCCATATTGTAGTGGTAGTGGCTGTCCTGAGTTGGTTAGGAGTGGACATGGAATTGTTTGGTTCAGGCTAGGCCATTGAGAAGGACTGTGAGAGCAGCAGTCCTGGAGCTGTCCTTCAGCCCCAGACCTCAGGCTGGTCCCAGAGGGAAGTCATATGCTATTTTTGTTGAGTTGTGAAAATCTCTCTTCCCAGCAGCTGGTTTTCATCACCAGATACCTCATACAGCTGGGATTCTACTGATTTTCCATCCACTTGAAATGCAGATGCCAGTCTTTCAGGACTTGCTTTCTGACACAGGCTGGTACTTAAGATGCAGGGATTGCTTGTAGAAGTTAACTGGGACACCTCAGTCATTTGCATTGCTGTTGGACCAACTTGGATTATCAAGCAAATAAGCAACGTTTTAAAATTCACATTGCAACAAATATGTGTTTTGAAATTTGTATACAAGAACTATCTAGCCTGATTCACTTCACAGTGCTTAAAACTTCTTATTTTAAAAGAGAAAAATATATAGTTTACTCTTCATTTTGCTTTCATAATCTCTTCAGGAAGTCCTTTTTCCCACCCATGCTTAACTACTTTTTGTAAATGTAATGGTTTAATATTATTCCCTTGAGTACTTCCGTGTATTTATAGCATCTGTATTGTTAAAGAGATGCTCTCTAAATATCCTACGGATTATTTTTCATTTCCAGACTCTGTAAAGAGGATGTAAATTAAGTCTTGAGTTTGGACTGATTTTCCTTCTCCCAGATACTTGATGTGGATTTCTTTGTCACTCCACAGTGTTGAGAGTGTGACATTGATTTAGGGAGGGACATTTTTTTTCCTGTTTTGTAAGAGTTCAGTGGTGGATTAAGTATGATGTGTTTGACTAAGCTATATAGAACTGTTCAGTAAAACTTTATAAGTCTAAGCAGACCTACATAGATCAGCAATTTGCCTGTGAACTTGGACACTGGATCCTCAGTAAATGGAAAATTTTGCTGTTGTAGACTTTTTAAAGTTAAATTTTAGTCTGAGCAGAATCATCATTATATATGTAAATTGAATACTCAAATCCTCACTGAGTTGCTTATTATAGTCCATAAGCTCCACTCTTCTTGCAAGCCTCAGCAAGATATTTCTCACTCTTTCTAGAGCTCCCAAAGGTGTGGAATCCAGTCAAAACCTAAAGGTTGAATAAGATTGCACAGTGCATAGTGCAGTGAGGATATGTCTTTAAAAAAACAAGAATACTATTCCCTCAGTGGTTTTATCCATCTTTCGAAGTTCAGCCTTCTGAACCTCCATGGAAATTCTTTGTAAGGTCTTCTGTGCTTGGTTGACAGCTGAGAGTAAACTTGTTCCTGTTTTTTAGCTTCAGTCCTTGAAATCTTTTTCTGCCATCAGAATAAACAAGACAAGCTATAACCTATTTGTAATCTTATTTGCATGGCCTGAATAACAAGATTTTTCTGTTCCTTTGCAGGCATTCGACCTCCAATCATGAATGGGCCCATGCACCCGCGCCCCTTGGTAGCATTGCTGGATGGCAGGGACTGTACAGTAGAAATGCCTATTCTGAAGGATGTAGCCACAGTGGCATTTTGTGATGCTCAGTCTACACAAGAAATTCATGAAAAGGTAATGTTTAAGAGGGAGAACTGAGGTGTTTTAGCAAAAGGAGGTATTTTACTGATTTGGAACAATGTTGTGTCAGCTGTGACGTGTTACTGCAACGTCTGTGATGAGCTGTGCTTTAGTGTGTCCTTGGTTGGATGTTGTCCCTCTGCTTCCCTACTGAATTAGATTCATGGAGAGAGTTACTTCTGGGCAAAACACTACTACATGATATCTTGAAATGCTCCTTGAAAACATTTCTGTTGCTCAGCCTTTGTCTGGAACTTCAGATCTCAAGTATTGGATTGTTTGTGTGGGTAACTTCGTGATTTCTTTGTTTAGCCAAGGAATTGTACAGGTTGGGTTAGGCAGCCTTGTGCGCTGAGAAATGTCACTGGAGAAGAGTTTCAAAACAAATGCTAACCCAAAATCTGCATGGAAAATGTGGTCAGTGTCAACCTAACTTGAGAACACATGCAAAAAATTGAAAATTTCTCGGTCTTCATTCGTAGTGGATCTGCAGAGATAATGTTTGTTGAGTTTTTTAATAAAATAAAACTTAACTTATAAGGTTCAAAGAAAATGTATGGGTTTTTTTAATTTAAAGGAAACCCAAGCTTTTTTCCTCAATTCTTTTTTATTTTATTGTATATCAAGAATTTAAATGTAATTGCCTTTTTTCTGTATATTAGTTTTTAATCATGTTGAGAAGTTGCTTTCGTTTTACTGTTTTCCTATCTCACACCACTGTTAGGAGTTAATACACGGATTCCATTTACAAGGACTACGTGACACATGAAGAATAAGTAATATAAATGCTGTTCTACTTCTGTCAGTAGGTAAGAGCAGTCTGCTCTTCAACTGAACACTATACTATAGCATTGGCTACTCCACCACCTGTATAGTTTTATAATTTACTTACTAAAATCAATATAATTTACTTCTGGTGCATCAAGACTGGGGAATTCCCATGTGCCATGAATGCCTTGAAAAAAAAAAAACCAAACAATGTTTTTTTTTCTGTTAGCAGTGGTGTGTAATAAATGAACTTTTCAGATCTTGAGATTGAGTGTGTGTCTCTCAAATTGCAGGTTTGGAAAAGTATTTGAATAACTGATGAGTGGCATGGGTAATCTGTTGCTGATCTTCACAACACTGCTGTATGGAGGGGATTATACTAAAGCTTCCATCCTTTGCTTTTTATTATACAGAAGTAATTAATTCTCAATGATCTCGGTAATACAGCAGGAAAATATATTTTACTACCTTTCACTACAGTGCCATAATTCAGATCTTCACTTGTCTAAAGGATGAGACAGTCCTAAAACATTTGGGTATGCAAGGTAATAAATTTCTTCAACAAAAGTCACAAACTAGAATTCATAATCATACTGTTGTATTCCTTTAACATAGGTTGAGAGATCAGTTTTATGAAGTGTTAAGCACTGTTCACTTCTGTGTGAAAAGTGTTCACTGTTCATCTGCAGTGGAAAATGACTACTTTTCACCTATCTTTAGAGGAATATTTACATTTTAGTACTGTTTGCATTATACATTATTTGGGAATGGTGCTTTGTTAAATACAAAATTGTTTTCACAAAAGGTTTTATAATTAAGAATTGCATATTTAAAGCAGGATGAAAAATGTTTACGTATTTCTGAATGCACATTTGTGGCCATGCTAAGTGATGAAATACAAATTTTGGTAATAGATAGTAAGACGAGCTACTGAATTCATAGGTTAGCAGATACAGATACATTTAATGTGAAGTTGAAGGGAGCAAGCCAGAGGCTGGGAAGGTTAGGATGGGGTTAGAAGGATGATTGACATTGTGTGATACTCTTAGGTGGGTGACTGTAATGGGGCAGGGGTAAGACATGAACCAAGAATCAGATGGGGAGGATGAGCAGAAGGATGTCTAGGAAAGTAGGAACCTGTATTAACTCAGCTTGCACATTTGTGGAGCCTTGATCATAGGGGTGTGAGGAATCAGAGTTTGAGAAATTAACATTTTGGCACCCACAGAAGGGTTTTCTGCTGGTCATGAGAGTTTCAGGGACAAAACCATGCTTTAAAATACTGTGTTTTAGTTTCTCAAGGGAATAGAGTGGAAATGGGAATTTATTGTAGCTTGTGAGACAGCAAAGTACAAGCTAGGTAGTTTTTCACAGAGGAGCAAGCAGGCTGAGAGATTTTAACACAAAAAGGTAGAAGAGAAGCAAGGATTTGAATGCCATTTGTGTGCAGGGTCAAAAGCAGGATTTTAGTAAATACCTTTCTGTGTCTGCTTGCTGAAGAAAATTTTCTCCAGGTGGTTAACTGAGCTGCAGTTTGTAGCAATATCTTCTGCAAGAGTTCATTTTTAAATCACTTCTTATGGCTGAGGAGATTAAATTGTTGAAAATAAGTAACAAGTTGTAAAGTTGAAGTAAGTAATAACGTGTAGTAGAACTGTGCTTCATCTCATGTCAAAGCATTTGTTCCTGTTTCACTCCTTTGCAAAGTAACGTGGATGGTGAAGGTGCATTTCCCTCTTTCTGAAAAATCGGGCTGCCAGTGCTTAAATGAATACTGACATTTACTGAGAGTGACCCAATGTTTGGAAATAACTTTGTAGTTAGGGTCATTTGTTACACTTCTTCAGAAATTTACTCGTGTAAGGTGTGACGGGTTTTTGGTTTGTCTCCTTGTTTCCCATTCTCCCTAGAAAAAGCAGTTTCTTTTCTTTTTGAGCCTGTCTGCAAGGCTGCAATAGATGTTTTTATCCCTTAACCCCTACGTTCTGTTTTATTGTAGATGTTGCATGTAGCTGTGTGAAGTTGAGCATTGCATTTGTCAAACTTATCATGGCATAACTGGGAGTTTAGTTCATTGCATCCTATCCGAAAACTTCTGTAAAAATATTTTAAGATTTCAGTGTTCAAATGTCTTACTGGAGATTGCATTACTGTCTATAAAAGTTACTTGCTGTGGTTAAATTGGCTTTTATTTTACAATTAATGATATATAAATAAGTTTCCTCAGTAACTATCTAAGACTGCTTCCCAATGTACACAGTGTTTTGATTTGTTCTGCCAAAAATACAGTTGTTCATCCAAAAAAATTATTTAAAAACACTTAGCTTGCTTCCATCATCTTTCCAGGTCAACTTTCTTTTTTCACTATCTCATGCTCCATTGTCTGTTTTCCTCTTTTCCCAATCCCTCTTTCGTTTCAGTGCCATTCACAGTTTGCTGCTTTTCCTGGCTCCTTGGCAGCCTACCCAGCACTCTGATTCCTGCAATATTGCTGCTCTTTTCCACTTCTGTACCTTTAAAGGCATAACAGACTCAAGCACACCCTTGAGGTCTGTGTGTTGCCCAAGAGGTTTTTGAGTTCATGTTCTTTGGTTTTTGGGCTTCCTGACCTTTGCTGTGTGTTCTGTAACATGGAAGTGCTGTGTAGATCGAGATGGATAAACGTAAACAATGTGCAAGAGCTGGTAATAGGCATCTCAACCAAGGAGAGAGAAAATAGGGATTCTTGCAAAGCCAGATGAAAAGACAGGAAGCACAACTGATTAGGAATAGTCTTTAAAACAAAATGTAAAGGCTGGAAAGAAGTCAAGAGTTTATTTGAGGCTGAGTATGTTTTTTCATTCTCTTTTTTCTGTAATTATGTACTTTGCTACATCTTGTTGCAAATCAGGTAGAAGAAAAAAGTAACTGACTGTGGTTGTCTGGGTTTACAGCTTCAAGCTTTTACCCAGTTGACCAGAACAATGATGAAAGCAATGAGTAGTCCTTGGATGGAGGTGGAAACAGAGTCTTTTGGGTAAACCTGTGTCCCAGCCTTAGCAGAGATTGGGGTAGAATGTATGAGATCCTTTGACTCCTATTTTCTGGGCCAACATGAAACAATTTTGTAAAAGATACTGCATTTCCATATTTGTAGTTTTAGGTTAAAAAAAATTGAAACCTGAACTTCCTGTTCAACAAAATTTGAAATTTTTCAGTCACGCTTTTACACAGGAGTTAAATGTACAAGCAATTCTGGCAATGGCAGTTTTATCAAAGACCATTTCAAAGAGACGCTGAAAAGTGACAAATGTTTTGAGACTGATACAAACAAGTTCAGGATGGTGCTGTTGTTCAGCTCTTTGGTTTTGTCCCTGTTACAGCAATGGTTAAGTGAAATAATTTTTCAAGCTTCCAATTCTTTGTTTAGTAGTAAAGCTTGTGTTTACACCATCAGTGCTGTTTCTATTCATGATGCAGTTGAAGCATTTTAGTTTTCCATCAGATTTAAATTCTCAAAGAACACAGATTGAAAGGAAGCAGCTTTGTTCTAAACAACAACCTCTGTTTGGGAGTAAGTTGTCGGAGCTGATCCAAAACCTTGTAAATGTCCTGAAACTGAATGAGCTTTGGATCAGAATCCTTCTGAAAGAAAGACTTGGGAAAAAACTGGCTTGAGCTGTCACTAGTGACTTCCATAACTCCATAATATCCCTTGGTAGAGAAGTTCAGTCCATTCTGGTGTCTGATAGACTTGACCTGAATTCAGCCTTATGGATAGACAAAATTCAGCCCTATTAACAGACATACTAACACACAGAATTCCTGTTAAAGATTTTTCATTGAAGCCTTTTACTCAATAAAAACGTTTTCAGAGTCTATATTCTCAAATTGACTTCTGTCATTAAAGCTGCATGTCATGGTCAGTAAATCCTAGCTTGGAAAGACTGGCTTCAATTTAGTATTTAAAAGGAAGTTGTGTGTGGACTATACAGGTTATTTGTGCAGTTGTGTGCATGTATTTGTATGTATATGTTTTTAATGTTAATTTAATGTTAATTTCTAGAAGACTAGAAATACACTATCATATATATATATGTCACATGTGTATATATGTAGTTTATATAGTGTATGGATATATAGGCTTTTAGAAAGTATGTTTTCAGGAGCCTGCAAGTAAGTTATGTTTATGTTTGTGTAAAATATTTATGCTTTTATTTATGGACAGTATAAACTCAAGTATTAATGTTTAGGGTTCTCGCTAGAGAGTATCCTGGCTGAGTAAAGTTTATATGAAATAAGTGGGTTACTGACAGCACATGGATCATAGGAACCTAAGAGGGAGCTGAGAGCTTGTAAAGAGAAGCAAGAACTTGTAAAAAGCAACACGATATAACAGAGCTTTGGAGAGCCACTAAATACCACTTGAGCACTCTGGCTTTTCCTTTTAGCTTTAATGGTGCTGGTTTCACATGATCCTTTGCAGTGTTGTAGGGAGGCTTTGAGAGCAGCTCTGAGTCTCTGCAACCTTCCCCATGTGACAGACTATTGGTTACAAATTCAACCTGCAGCTGCTTTTTGCAAGTTAAATGAGGCAAGGCCTACGCCGTTTTGGTGAAGTACATTTGTTCCACCCAAATGTGCAAAATATTTCAAGTCTGTTGGTGATACTGAAACATAATTTTTTTAGAGATGACACATGAAATTTCAAGCCCAAGAAATGCAACACGTTGTAGTTTCTAGAACTGGATTAAATACAGTACATTCTAGTGATGATTTTTGTCTTTAAGATGGAAACTTTGTCATATTCAGCTTGGTTTTTTTTTTTTTTTTTTTTTTTTTTTTTTTTTTTTTTTTTTTGTCTCTGCATTGAAGTAGTTTGGCATTTCTTGTAATGTGTTATGTTTCTATGCTCTGGATTTGATCCATGAGTGTCTGGGACCAGCCTCTCATAGTCAAATCTAGAAGTGTCTGGAGATGCTCCAAGAAGAGAAGGCCTTGCTGTTTAGCTCTTAGCATGTTATGATACATGTTTTTGTAAAAGTAAGCAAGATGCTCAGAGTTCTTCCCCAGATAATGAGATGTGTGTGTCACAGTGGTGACTATGTTGATGTTTGGCATGATGGCTAAAATAGTGTGGTACTGAAAGAAGGGAAAAAATATAGATGGGAAAACATTTAGAAGGATTTCAACCTTCTAAATAGGTAATCAGTACTCAGGATTTGTTAAATAGATATAGAAATGTCTCCTAGTACTGTCATCTGTTCCCTAAGAGCCTTGGTGACCTGGCATGTTGTGAAAGCAGAGCAGTCATTTTGAGGTTGAAGAACAGCAGAAAGACCTGTCCAAGCTGCAGTGATGGGAAAAGCTGTCACCTTGTGGAGTAGGGAATGACAAAGACTTTCAACAGTGAGCTCCAGCTGCAGCTGGCATAGAAATCAGGCAGGTGAGCTCCATAATAATTTGGTGACAGAAGGAACCCAACTCATGTCCCATGTTTCAGCTTTTGCCTCGAATCCTCTCTTCCCAGAGGGCACAGTTGCAGTGTGATGGGAGCAGGAATGGGGAACACAGCTGATTCTGCTCATTTTCTGTCAGGTTTTTCCATTGCCTTTCCTTGCAAGAAACCATCAAAGAGCATGGTCTGACTGCCACATACTCAGGCTGGTCTAGAATTTCTGCCTTGCCTGCTATCTCACTCTCAAGTTTGATCTCCTTGTAATAAAATTGTTCTTGAATTTGTTAAAAATAAGGTTCATTATGGAAAATTATTGGAAAAGTCACATATTCTCCCTGATTTTCTCAATGCATCCATCTCTTCTGTTAAATCATCAGTGAATTACTCCTATGCACAGTTATTTTTTTTCTAAAGATAATTTCATTTTCTGGAATTGTTGATATTTATGCTTGATGCCAGTTGCATGTGTGGTATTTTACTCATTGAAAGACTTTTCAAACTTCCTTGTGTGCATTTAATATATGTAATGACTGAGAATATAAATCATGCAAATAATTCCAAAATACAGAAACTTTTCACTGTTTTTTTAAATCTAATGGCATTATTAACATTCTCCAGTGCTGAATGTTTTTAATTTTATATTTTCTGCTATTATTTTATGCCTTTTTGGCATACTTCAATCACATGTCCAGCAGCAAAAAGCAGTAACATAATTAAATTATCAAATAAATGTGATAAAATACACTTGCTGGGTATTACATTTTTAGCAGTGGATTTCCTTGCTAACTAGCCCATAATCCTAGGAGAGGCTCAGTTACTAAAAAGGAATTCTAAAAGATTTGTCACTTGCATTTGCTTATTCCATATCCCATGTGATGTGTAAATAACTGCCTGTGGAAATGGCTAGTGTCAGCATTAAGCTATAGCTAGGAAATACTTTCCCTTTTATTGAACACATTCCCAAGCTTTCCAGTACTTTTCTGTCTCCTCCTAGTGCCAAGCCATAACCTAAATGGGCCCAAAAAATGTGCCATAATGGGCGCACACCAGTGCTCTTAGAGTCCAAATGCCAGTCTTGACTGGCTGAGTTGATAAAATATGCATGATTATGAAATGAAAATCTGCTTCCCAAAGTGAATCACTCTGATATTAAAACACAAATGTCTGAGCCGGTTCAGCTGTGCTTTAACCCTGCTGGATGAAGTCCTTAAAGCAGTGGCAGCTCTGTACCCCCAAAATACACCCACCATGGGCCTTTTCCAGTCTGGGAGAGGAGGCTCACGGAGCCTTAGGGGTGTGTCCTTGCAACTTCTAAGCTTCTTCAATTTTTGCTTATCTGATAGCTACACAGACGATATTTTCTCCTGCAGCACAGGCATCCGGCGCAACCCTTGGGAGGGGTGGGGGGAAAATAAATGCAACACAGAATAGGGGAGATGGCTTTTTGGAGACAGCCAGGATATCATAACTTGACCTTGAGGCTTGAAGCAACTGAATTTGAAGAAATTTCCGCATTTCTGAGGCTGGGAGATCCTTGAACAATTTTATTTCAGCCTCTGGTGGGAGCAGAAATAACCTAAGGGCATTTTAGGTGTACTTTCAGATCTCAAGAGGGACTGTTTCTTGTGTAGGATACCTCAGGCTTGGTCCATGCCAGCTGTAATGTCACTGGAGAAATAAACCCAAAAACTGTGTTGTTTTTTTATTAGCCCTGTGTAACAGCTCAAGGTAACACATTCTGGTGAGTGCAGTTTTTCTGATTGGGAGCTGCTGGTTGTAATCCTCAAAGGACTTGTGTGCACCATTAAAATCAAGGAGTTTTCTGTGTGTGTGTAATCATTTTATAAGATCTGAGCCTACAGCTGGTCTTTGAATTATGTTGTAGCTGCATTCTTGAAGGATGTGTATTTTGTAAATTTTTTTTTGCAGTTCTTACTAGTAAATGCAAATTCTGCTCAAAGGAATCTGGTCTTTATCTGAGTTAGAACTGAAGTTCTCAGTCCAGAAACACATGTTGAAATAGCATAAATAGTGTTGTGAAGTATTCAGTAATAAGTGTTTTTCTTTCCTTTTTTATGGAGTTTGATTTTATTTTAATTTTTTTCTTTATGCATTTTTAAACACTGTTGCAGATCCTGGATTCCAGCAATTGTAATGTTCTGTGTGCAAGACTCTGCTGTAATAGTTTTTTAAAAATTATGTATGTTGATTATTTTTACTGACCTTGCATTACACTAGGAAATGCTCATATGAGCAGAAATAATTCAGATGACAGAATCAGTACACCATACCCAAAAGTCTCAATAAGAAATTTAGAGCCTCTGCAGCACTTCTACGTGAAGTGTGTCATAGGAATCTCTTGAAATCATTACAGCTGGCTTAGCTACCGAAATGGTTTGTGTATGTTTTGTGTCTTGTAGAACAATTAGGATATTAGCTAATGCATTGAAGGTACAAGCACAGGGAAGTGTTTTGAAGAAGTAAAATCATGCATTTTGCAGATAAAGAGGAAAATACTCTGCTGTCTGAAAAATAAATTCCTATCAGCTGTGTGGGGTGCAGTGTCACTGTTTGGTAGCAGAAGTCAAAGCTGCTGGGCATGTCTGGCTTCCTTCTCCACACCTCTTCTCCCTCTCTTTCCTCCACACCCCTTCTTAAGTGCTCTTGTGTAGGTTGGATGCATTTATTTAATTATTTGATTTGTTAGGGGCTTCTGACTATCTTTTATTTCAGCTTTTTTGGTGCTCTCACAAGTTTTGGGGTTTTCCTGCAGCATTTTTCCTTTCATGCAATTTCTTATTTCTCAGAGGCTTTGGATTTTACTGGATAATGTCAAGTTTGGCATCTTAGCTAATACCAATTTCTGTGACATCCAGTTTCCATCAGTGAGAGCTTATTTGCAGTGTCAGTAAACTGAGGGGCAAACACTTTTGTTCTTATGTGTGACGTGACCAGTTTCAGTCTCTGTTGTCAAAGGGGTTTGTCATCACTGAATGTTTTCTGTTCAGGTATCCAGTGGTTTAATAGGGCAGTGAATGCCTGTACCACTGTGTGGTGAAGAGATGCTGCTCTGTTGCTCCATTCAAAGCTGAATATCAGCTGCCTAAGCATAAAATACTCACTGTTTGTGGGGAGTGTTTGTTCCTGTGCTGTGCTGCTTCTGTGTGTGAAGTTGCAGTCCAGTGGCACTTGTACCTAGGGTCAGTATTGCAGAGCATTTCCTGGGGAATGAGGAGAGCTTTCCCTCTTATTAAGAATACAAGTACAGATCACGTAGTTCTTTTGAAGCTGCTTCTCCATCATGCTAGAATGGAGACTTCAGATGAAAAAGACTTACCAAGAGGCTGGGAGATATTTGGAAAAATAACCTTTAAAAAAAAAACCCTGAATCTCTATTTAATGCTTTTACTGTCTTTTATACTTGAGAATATGAATGAGATTAAGCTGAGATTCTGTGAAAGCAAAAAAAACCAACTGTTTTTTCTTCTATTTTGTTTATAGGTACTAAATGAAGCAGTGGGTGCACTGATGTATCACACTATAACTTTAACTCGAGAAGACCTGGAGAAATTTAAAGCACTTCGAATAATTGTCCGAATTGGCAGTGGTTTTGATAATATTGACATCAAATCTGCTGGAGATTTAGGTATGGCTATTACAGACTTTATTTTGCATCTTATACTTGTCTCCAGAAATCTGATAGTATCTAAATCTTTGTATTAATGTTTTCTGTGTATTTTTATACTAGCATCGTATGTAAGCTGTATAATTTTCCCATCAGAGTATAAAACTCATTATGGAGATACTAGCATTAGTTAATTAAGTGATAATATTAACAGCTTTGTGGCAGGATGACAATCTGCCTGCTCAATATAAACCCAAGGAGTAAGGCCATAATTTTTCATCTCTTTCTTTTTTACCCCAATTGTATATTTTAACTACTACTGCTGTAATCTAATTACAAAATATAATTCCATTACTGGGCATACTACTTCTGTTTGAATAAAAAGTTAGATCATTATCAACTGTCTGAGACTTATTTATGCTGAATGAGATTTAGTACAAAACCAGTCCATAAAATAGAAACAATTATTTTAGAGGAGAATCAGTTGTTGCTTCTTCAGGATAAATTCAGCTACTGGAAATATGAAGAGATGGTGCTTGATGTTTGACTGTAAGAAAAGCAACCATCTGATCTGTACTTTTCTTACTTTAGGTTAAACTATCTCCTACCTGTAATCTAAAAGTCAGCCTACCACCTGGAGTAAAGATTTTCTTTGCTTCTTTTCCACGATTGTGGAGACCAAATATGTTTCCCATTATGCTCTGGGGAGATCTTGGAAACATTTATTTCAGTGTGGCAGTGCTTAGTTCTAGCAATAGCCCCACTGATGTAGTGTGTTCTGTTTATCAGCTAATAATAAAAAAATACTCACCTGTTGTAATGGTGGCAGAGCCTTAACCACTCCTTGCTAAATTTTATAAAGATCAGGTCTGGGCTGAAAGTGTGCAAGGCTGTTTCCCCTGCTTTAAGTGGTGCCACAGTCAGACTCGTGTTGTGAGCCTCAGAAAACCTGTGTGTGTGGAGAGATTTGCCTAGGGTAAAATCCTAGATCAAAAGCCAAAATGTAGGTGCAGATCAAAGGCTCAGGCCAGTCAGGATCCCAGTTTGTGGAGAAAATCCCTGATAAGAGGAAGATCTTTGAAGGTTTGCTGGCTCTCTCTTCTGCAGGTCTCTATGCTGGGTTGTAACCCAAGTTACAAACTTAAGTGCAGCCACATAATTCTTCCAGGTAGAGTACACAGCAGATTTGGGAAATTCTTGTTCATATGAAATGTTAAATGGCCACCTTCCTCATCATTCAATTCCTGTCTTGTGATTAGACTGAGTTATAAAGTTGAAGGTCTAACCTGTTTGTGTATCCCTTAATGTACAAAATATTGTCCACTCTGTCAAAAGCCAGGAAATGGTGGAAAGATTACAGTAAAATCTCTGATTTTAATATTAAGTTTGGGTGAAATGGCTGGAATGAAATATTACTTTGATGAAGAGTCTTCCATTTGTTGAGCTGGTGTACATAATACAATTCTTAAGGAAGTAATGTGAGAGTGATCTTCTCTTTGTGAAAGGCTTTAATTTGCTTTTGAAATGTAGATTTAGACCAGAGTCCAATGTATTCCTGTACTTCTGTACTAACTTCTTGAGTTATTTTTCATAGAGCTGGCAGCTTTTCCTATTAAGCATTTTTTTATATTAGCACTTCTACTCTTCCTACAAAGCATGAAAATATGTGTTTCTTGGATAAAACATGCTTTTTGTCCGCTTCATTAGTAGTTGACTAGAAAATACTTGGAAGTTATGGGTGTAGCTGGATACAAGTGAAGTGGGAACCCAGGTAATGCCTGTTGACTCCTGCATTTTTCAGCATTGAACCTGTGCACAAAATCACTGAAAGCAGTGGGAAAAGGGAAGTGAGCATTGTTCAGTGGATATGAGATGAGAGTGTGCTGTCTTTTCCCATGTGAAATGTCTCTTCATTTCCTTGCCTCTCTCTTGCTGCTTTTTGTGGTTTCCTATGTCTCTGCCTTTCAAAAATGAGCTGCTTTTAGAGTTGAAGAAAAATTGGGAAAAATAAATTCCTCCCGTTCAGAAGAGAATTTATCTGACTTGTGTTCCCTCTGTTTCCTAAGGAAACCTATTAGGGAAGAAGGTATATCACTCCTCTTCCTAAATACATAATATAATTCTTCAAGCTCCTTTTAAAGCATAATTTTGTTGATAGCAGCTATTAGGAGATGCATTTATTAAATTTACATTGCCATCTAAAACCTGCATTGTTGCTCCATGAAAAAGACTTTTTTTGTATAAACAAATGCAAGTATTAATGTGAGGTACTTAGAGGGATGTTATTTTTCAGTCTTTCACCTCTCCCTCCCAGTCAAGCTTTTTTCCCCATTTTAAAAATGGTGGATTTCCATCTAGCATTGATGTTAGCAGGATGCCAAGATTGATATTCCAGCAAATGATGCTGGTATATCTTCTTGTAAGTCTTAAGGGCAGTGACTCAGCAGACAGGTTTATCTCTACAGCAGAGGAAAGAAAAATAGTTCTGTAAGTTCCTTGTGCAGACTTTTAGTGATGTAGAGAAAGCTATAAAAAATGACTGGGCAGCAGAATAAAGGTGTTTGAATGTAAAACATAGATAAATATAATATGAGTTTATATTTGTCATATTACTATTCATGCTGGTTTTGAAGAGAATGTTTATTCTTTTCTTCCTAAGATACTCTCGTATTAGCTGAAGACTTAGTGAATATTTAGTTATGTAAAATCCTAAACAGTAAAAGCAGTTCTTGGGTGGTTTTAGGATACAAAACACTTTTTTTTCTTCTCCACCATGAAATTATACTATGTGCTGTTTGTTGTCTCAGTCAGCAGAACTGAGACACAAACATTTGTGGGAGCTGGTGATTAGGGAGAGAGAACATGCAGTACATGGGAAGACTGAAGACAGAAAATCAAAAAGGAGGCAAGGTTTTTCAAGCATTTTGCTTAACTGCTGTGTATTGAGTACTGGAAGGTAAAGAGCAGAATGAGATAACTTGCATGTAATTACAATCAATCACTTGTTCCTTCATCTGTTTTTTGAAGTAAAGTAGGCTTATTGTGAGTCTTGAATCAGTAATTCACCTTCCACAGTTTTCTGTAGAAGTCTGTAACACTTTAGGCTGCTTGATGTTACGGTAATTTCAGCTAGTAACTTTTCAGTTTAGGAACATGGGCTTGCTTGGCATTGCCTTTGCATGCCATGCAGAAGCAAATTTTGTATTTTCCTATTGACTATTAGATGGGTTCCCTTTAATGTGGGGGCCCAGGGATGTTGTTTGTTGTAATTCTACAAATCGCTGTGCAACACGTAACAGATTGTCCTTTCCTGTATCATAATTACCTATACTGAATTACTAACAGTCACCCTGTGAAGGCTTTATAAGAGTTGCTGTCATTATAAATTATTTTATCCTTTTTTAATTTGCACAGATAGCTTTTGGGAGGATGTGTGTCCAGTGGTGGAAAGCTAACTCGCACAATTAAACCTAAACTGTGATCGTTGACCACACTGTTGAGGGCAAGGCAGATTTCTCTTGGCTATTCAAAATGCCAAGCTCAGTGGAAATGTAAAATGTTTACCAAGACACATTTTCCAAACTATCATTCCTTCTCTGGTTTCAGTAGCCTGTTTACTATATGCCTTAGACTGCAATAAATAAAAGCACAATAATTAGTAATAAAAAATCAGAGAGGTAAGTTGGCACATAGTTGTCAACTATTATGTCAGGTATTCTGCCTGCCATTACAGTCAGAAATTTAGTATTTGTGCAAGACATGCTGAAATACGTGTGATTTTAAACATCATGCTCCTGTATTGATGCTAAATGGGAAAAAATAAGCATTGTTTGGCATCTGGCATCCTCTACCCTGCTTGCAGGGATCGCCGTGTGTAACGTGCCAGCCGCCTCCGTAGAAGAAACGGCAGATTCCACCATGTGCCACATCCTGAACCTGTACAGGAGAACCACCTGGCTGCACCAGGCCCTGCGGGAAGGCACGAGGGTACAGAGCGTGGAACAGATTCGGGAAGTGGCCTCTGGAGCTGCCCGGATCAGAGGGGAGACCTTGGGCATCATTGGATTAGGTACGTTGTCTTCATACGTGGTTTCATGCTCTTTGCTGTCCATTGCTTAAAAAAGAGGTGAAGATTTGAGCTATAAAAATGGAACATTTGTTCACTCCTTATCAAGCATTCATTCCTGATGATTATATAACTCAAATTATTTCCCTTTAGACATAATGATTTTCCTCTGAAGAATTATTTTATTGCTAATGTTCTCTCAATTCTTTGAGTTTCTGTATGTCTTTCCCTTGCCATATTGCCTACTGTCAGGCACACTTCTTGTGAGAGGAGACATCATCACTTCCGTTTTCCAGGACAAGGATCCTGCTACTTCAGCCCAGTTACATGTGTATGTTTTATCCTTTATCCATTTTCATATCTGGTTTTGTTTGGACTTTCTTCCTTTTACCATTTTTTACGTAAGTAAGAAGTCTTTGCTTCAGTAACATCCTGCAGAGCAGTTATTGGGTGCATTAGAGTGAGCTGGATCTAAAATAGTATTTCAACTCTAATGAGAGGAAGAATATATGCAAGAAATTTTGAAATGTTTCCAGACCTAATAAAATCACCTACTTACCTCTCTGAGTGACTCTAAATGTTTTTCAACATCCGGCAGATGGACAGGCTTGCTAGAGATGAATTAATTACTGTCTGTTACAGAAGTAGAGAAGAAAACCAAGCAAGTCAGTTTCTATATAAAAATTATTCAGTCATATGCTTGCCTTACACAGATCTGATAGACTGTGGATGTAATTGCTGTGCTATTCATCCACAGGAATTAGTAATACGATTTTGACAACAAAGCATCATATTTAAATGACTGCTCCAGTTACACATTGCTGTCAAATAACTCCAGCCATGAACTCTTACTTTTGGAAGATGAAAATAGCCTGGTTTTACATAGTACTCATTTAAATAAGCATGCAATACACCAGAACCATCTTCACAATCAAAGAATTACCTTTAAAATATGACTTTCAAGAAGTTAGTCATGAAGGTGCTTTCTGAAATCTGTACTAATATAATTATGTATCTCATTTAAAAACACAAAGATTGTGCTCACAGTGACAGCATCTGTACCTAAATCATAGACAGTTGCCTGCAGTGTTTCCAAAGTGGAAATGCATACCTGGTTTTTGAAACCTAAGCTTTGGCTCACATGCAGTGTGCACATTTGCTGGAGATATCTGTGCTGTTGTCATTCAATTTGGTGTTTTTACTGAACAAATTCAGACTTGAGCTCAGAAAGAAAAAGTCTTTCATCATTGACTTCCTTAAGTGAGTTTTGCTGGTTTTGTTCTTGATGACTGAAAAGTAAAGGGGAATAAATGGGTAACCAGATTGCCAGTGTATGTATAAAGCTTTACAAAATACTAGGTTTTGGTTTTAGTTTTAAAAAGCAAGTCTTTTGTGTGCATGTTGCACTAAAAAGGGCGCACTTCTGTTGCAGTTATTGACCAGTTATTATCTCTAGCCTTTTGTTGCTCCTATCTATTTCCTGCCATAGAATATTCTTAATTTCAAAGAGTACTAAATTGTAAAGTCACTTTTGAAAACTTCCACTCTTCCTCCTTGTGCATGCCTGTGAAAAGGCACAACAGTTTGAGTCAAACCTGTTTTAACAAACTCCTATGAATCTATGTGTTAATGAAGATTTTGTAAAAATGTAGACTTAGAAGATCTACTAGAATTTCTGTGTGAGCACTTCAGGCACTTAGGCTGTGATGTGCACCCTTTTCTAGTACAGATCTCTGCAAGAGGTTAGTTGTCTTTGACTTTCAGACTCAAACATGTATTTGCAATCAAAGGCTGTTGTCCTTAGGTTGTGTGTCTTCACTAGTGGCCTCTCCTCACATCTTAAGTTTTGCCTCAGTTTATTATTTAGACATGTCAGTGTCAGAAGTGGTGATCCACCCAGATGCTGTGAAATGAATGTATTACACACAAAATAAACAGTTCTCATCATCTGTTGCTCAGCCCTTTCCTCTGTTTCTGTGTAGCATCTCTGTTTCTGTCCTTAACATGTGTCTAAGATCATCTCCTCTCAACCACAACTGTGTTTCTCTGTTCTTGTCTTAAAACTTGTGGTCTCTTCTGTGGGGGGTTGCTTAAATTTATCACTGCTGCAGCAGCAGCTAACAGCAGATCTCCTTAACATCTGCTCCTTGGCTTTTCTCTTTGCCAAAGAGAAACACCCTAGCTCTTGCCTATCTCTGTGCTAGGGAATGACTCTGTCTCCAAAGTTTCAGCTACTCACTTCCTTATCCACTGATCTAGCCAAGTTTCGTGACTCACTTGCCTTCTTTCCATCACCCACTCTGTTTCCCTCCTCTCATGCATATTCCTGCTTTGACACTTGGTCTGTCCTGCTTAATCCTATTACTCTGTGTTCCTCCTTTACAGTTAACCCCATTTCTCATCCTCTGCTTGTATTGAGCTTGAAGATAAGCAGGGACTCAACAGCATAATGCCTCCTTCATGTGCTTGTTGGATCCCATCCGTCATTGTTGTGTTGTTTGGTTAGCCCTGAGCTCCTTAGGACACAGCCCATGCCTCTTTCTGTCTTTGTGAAGTGTCTGATTCTTTGAGCTTTATGTAAATAATAATATCACATCATTTAACAGCTGTCTTTGTCACTTTGAATCTATACTACTATCTGGTGTCCTACATTGAAGTGATGCACCACAAGTATGGATAATAAGCCCTGCATTTAAAAAAGAAAAAAAAAAGCTACCTTTTCACCTTGTATCTAGAAATGTATGGGTTTGTGGGTTTTTTAAGGAGGAATATTTATGAGTAGCAGCACGTAAGTACTTGGATGAATAGACATCTGGCCCTGGTTCTGCTCTAATGATAATTTTACAGCAGTGAAGTTGCACTGCCTTTGCCTTCCTTCTCAGTGAGAAATGCTGATGACTAATGACTAATGCATTTCCTTACCCAAGAAAGGTGAAATTCTTGTAAATAAATTTGTCTCTACATCACAGTGAATGTCATCACTCAGTTTGTCTTTCCTCACCTGCTCTATGCTGTCAACAGTTACACTGCCCTACCTAGACACTCAGCCAAATTACTAACCTGTGTTATAAGTAAATAAGGCTTGAGTTGGGTGGTATTACTCTGCAATAAGTGATCTATTCTTAGCAGTCCTACTGGCTCTCTTAATGTGCTCAGCAGGAAATGTAACAGAACAGCCCTCTCCACATTTCAGAGTTCTCCAGGAAGGAATTACCCATATTCTCAATTGCTGTTGCACAGGCTGGGAAGAGCTGCTAAGCGAAAGCACTTCTTTCTTTCCATGGAAGTTTTCAGGCAGGTCATCATCATAATTTCCATGGTATCAAGGTCATTTTATAAAACTTAGCAATACTAGCATAGGATGAGTGTGCATTGCCCAAGGGCTGAGCAGTCCTTGACCTGCTGCTGCTGTACTGTCACACTCAGATCAGGTCATGGCAGGGTCACAGTCAGACACACCTATAAATTGGGACTTTGGGGTTAAGGGGAGTTGGGAGACTTGCAGGGGAGTTGAATGGATGAGGCTATATAGGAGACTTGAATGTTTAAGTCTCTCTTCTGAAATTATGAATGGACCTTGCTAGAACTTTGATTTCCTTGGAAATATGCTTTTGTTGCTTTCTGCTATTTTTGCAATTGTATGCAAAATTCATTTTCTGCATTCTTCTCACACTGCCAACTAATAAATCAATTTAAGATTTTGAGCTTAAGATTTTGCCCTCCCTGGAAGCACCATGAATATTCATAACAATTTGATATACTCTTAACATAGAGTTGTCCCAAAGGTGTGATGCTTTGTGTGCTGTATTGTCCTCAGTGTATTGAGGTAGGTTTTGAACCACCCCTTATGCCCAGGAGAGTCTTAAATAATAGAAGGTTTTCAGGAAAGGAAAAAAGAAGGTCATAGTTTTGTGGCTGTTCTTTATGTCAGATGGTAATTTTAAAAGAAATTGGCAAATTCTTTGTGTCCAGCTGTGTGCACTTGTTTAATGGCTAAGACTAAATACAAATTGTCATTTGCAGAAGAGTTTTAGCCCATAAAATATTTGTAATAGGGTAGTTATGGTTAGAAACAGAGATGTGATTCCCTAGTGTTTCTGAAGGAAACTTCTGTGCCCATTGAAGAAGGCTTTGGTTTATTAGCCTGGGTGGGGGTGAATGAAGTGTAGCTTTAATTGGAGAGGCTGTTGTAAAAGATTTTGCTGTTGTGAATCCCCTCAGGTATAAGTGTTGTAAAAAGTGTGAAAAAAAGAACAGATGACAGAACTGTTGCATATGAAACCGAATGGAGCTGGAGTAACAGTTATATGCTTTGTTGAAAAAGAAAAATATTTACAGCTGTGTGACTGATTCCTTGAGCTGTGAACATGCCAAAATTTGGAAACAATACAGTGTTTGTGTTGAAAATTTTCTAATTCAAATTTATAAAAACAGCTTGGAAAGCAAACAAATAACGTACATGCAAAGTGTTGAAATGAAAGATTTTGAGTAGTATTCTAACCTGCTGTCCCCAAAGAAAAGCAGATAGGCCTTGTCAGGTTGATACACTGTTTAATATTCGAAGCACATCTGTCACTAAGCACTGCAGAATTGCTGTGTTCAGATTAAGTGATCAGCAAAAACCTTTCTTCCTGTGGCTTCTGAAGTTTATTCAAAGAGAAACTGAAAAGCAGAGGGAAATCCCTTCAAGCACAATTGGAAATAGATGGGGATTTCCCTAAGTTGATTTGATGCTTTTTTGAACAAACTTAGACATTCAAAGGAAAACTTGTTGACTTTTTCTTGGGTTTTTTTTTTTTTTTTTATTAGGGATTGTTATTATAGTGTGTCAGGTGATGCTTTTGAAACATCTTTATCCGATATTTGTAGTACTCTAATGTGAATATCTGATCTGTAAACTTCTAACTTGAAAAGTGTTAGTTCTCACTCTTCAAAACGCCTGTAACTCATTAGATGTACTCAAGAGGATTTTTCCTCTCTGTTTTGCTGGTAGTGTGTCAAAGGGAAGTACATGCCTCCTGTTACATGTGGTATGGAGTCATGCCCATGCAGCACTTCTGGGCACAGCTCTGAAATATGAGAGTAAGGAGAGTGGAACAGAAAAGCCAAGTTCAGTGTCAATTCCAAATGGGACAGCGCTCCTCTTAACTAGGTGCCATATGATGTACTGTGTTTATTTTTCATTCAGGTAGCTGAATAAAATTTATTTTAAAGCTTTAGATGACAGGATTCTTGTAGGCATTTTAGCGCTGGAAAGATGTTACTCAAAATGAAGGAAGATGCCAGAAAGAAGATTCCATGTGTTGAGAATGGTTGTGCTTCAGATTAAACAAATTATCTGTTACTGCATCCATTTTTGAGGATTAATTTTATAGCTTTTTATTAAAGCCAGCTGGTTTGACATGGGTAAGGATAAGCCCTTGGCAGGATGTGTTCACAGGCAGTGGTGTTTTGCCATAAACTGGCCCAGCAGGCAAGCCTTGCATTACACAGATTATTGCAGATTACGTGACATCTTCTGGCATTTCACATATCTGGTGACAAAAGGTGCAAACCTCCTGTTCTGTTTCAAGGCAGTGTGGAACAGTCCAGATGTACCATTTCTGATCCCAGTGATGATTTTGAGTGGGATGGGAGCCCACCTCCCTTTTCTGCCCTTCCAGTTGCTGCACAAAACGTTACAGTTTGATCCAAGCCTTCCCACTGGGCAGGAGGAGGCCACCTTACACCCACCAGCTGCTTCACATCTGCTCTTACGGCGTGTTTATCTTGTTCTAGGGCGTGTTGGGCAAGCAGTAGCTCTTCGTGCCAAAGCCTTTGGCTTCAGTGTGATTTTCTATGACCCGTACCTCTCGGATGGCATGGAGCGTGCTCTGGGACTGCAGCGGGTGAGCACTTTGCAGGACCTGCTGTTCCACAGTGACTGTGTTACCCTGCACTGCAACTTGAATGAACACAATCATCATCTTATTAATGACTTCACCATAAAGCAGGTAATAATCTCTGTGGGTGCCCTCCACACCAGTGCTGGTTGCCAACTCTGTATAGCATTTATTTCTGTAAATAAGTAGATTCTCATTTGATAGAAATCTTTCTCTTCTCTGCTGTAAGATCAAGCAGGTCTATAATTGATTAGGAACTAGCTGGTTGTTTATGTATTGTTGCTTTTTCTGTCTTTTTGGCTCAGTAACATTACATTGTGGAAATAATTTGCTCTTCTTAGTATTGCTCAGATTTAATGAAGTGGCATTGATGTAAAAGCACTTTCTCTGTGTCTTGTAATAGCTTCTTCCTTTACATGAGTATTTCCAGGTAGCAATTCTGCCTTTCACTGTTGTAGAGTTCCTTTGATTCGATTTCAAGATTATGACTAAATGGCTCCCCCCTGTGCTCAGTCCCGATGCTCGCAGAGCACTTCAAGGATGGAGCTCGTTTACGGCATTTACATTATTGGGAAAAATAATGTTTCTTGGAATTAGTACTAACTTCTCCCTAAGGTTCTAGCTACTATGAAAAATAATAAAATAATTTCAAAATCTGGGTGTAATAACCGCCCCATTATTGAAAAATTTCATAATAAAAGCCAGATACTTAATGAAAAAGTTTGACTCCAACTTTACTGTAGGTAACAGCCAGAAGTAAAACACTGAGACATAGGAATGGAAGCAATGTAGAGGAAAGAAACCCTAAGACAGACTAGTTGATTTGGCTGTTCTTTATATATATGTGTGTATATAGTGGGTTTATGTGTTGGGAACAATGACAGTCGCACTCTTTTGCAGTAAAATTGTTGCTTGTCTTCTGAGAAGTAGTTGGTACCTACTGCTCTTGAACTTTAGCACTGAAGAACTTACTGAACATGTTCCACAGTCATGCACGTTCATGGCAGAAAACTGACAATACAACACACTTCTTGATTTGAGAGTTTAGGGATTTTGCAAATCCATCACTACATAAAATCAAGATTTGGGATTTAAAACTCCTAAAAAATTAAGAAGCTTAAAATGAAACCAAAGAGACCGGAGGTCTGTCACCCTGGCTTGAATATCGTCTTCTGTTGTATGGCTGGGTTCATTCAGTGGTTATTATATGGTGACATGTCTTTTCAAACAGACATCTAGATCTGAAAAGGATCACACTGAGTTCCATGGGACCACTGAGCATTGGTCACTTTATTCTACAGCAGTTGTGAAACTGGGGCCAGTTTATCACAGGAAGTTTTTGAGTGAAGGCAGAGAAATGTGTTGACCTTTGGAGAAGGCACAGTGTGTTAATCAGAGAAACAAACAAAGGAAAACATGTTAAAACTGAGTAATACCATCTGAAATTAAATGCCTGTAATAAACTCTGCAGTGGAAAGTATCTCAAGTAAGCATTTATCTTCTTATTTGTTATCCTTCATGATCAAAGCAAGGATTAATTAAAGTGTTAGATAATAGTTCTTGCTTTGGGTAGGAGTTTGGGTGAAGCAGTCTGGGTAGTAAAGGGGATGTGAAACCCATGAAATTGGAACCCCTCTGACTGCTTAGTTTGTGTGGAGCATATTCTGATTTAGGCTGACAGATGTTGAAGTTGGCCTAGAATTTGTAGAGAGCATTGCATACCATTTTTGTCCAATACTGAATGCTCATGTCATTACCAGTTTTTAAAGAAGGTACAGAGAAGTATTGTGCATCTCATTTCACTGAAGTCTCACCCTGAATTTTGTAGACTCTGAAATGACATACACTTCAAGTGTTTTTGACAATTTGGTGTCTGTCTTCTCTTAAGTAACTTTTCTAGTGAATTAATCGTTATTCTGTAAAGCCATCCTGCTTGTCCTTGTAGTCCCAGAGTAGCTCAGAGAAGTGTTTCAATGAACTTGTACTCTTAAGAGACTGAGGTCATCTTTAGTTACACAGATTTGAGAAAAAACTGCAGTTTAAACACAATGCTTTCATAAGGCAGCTCTGCAGGTCTAGTGTAGGTGAATTTAACAGACGTCAGCAGTTCCAGCTGTGAAGCTCTTTCAAGCTTCCACCCATTGTTAAGGATCATCTCCAGCTGCATCCACCCTGATAGTTTATCATGAGTCACATAATTCATTCCCTCTAGAATGCATTTATGGAGACATGTTTTGTTTGATTTGAATGTGTCTTAGTGCTAGTTCTGGAGTTTTGTAAATAGTCTTAAAATGAAAACTCAAGCAAGGTTGTTGGACAGATTGGACAGAAGATTTTAGCAGGGTTCACTTTAAGTAAAATATTCAGGTCCTTCAGAGGGCCTGTAAATAACTAAACTGTACTTAAAATTCAAATTACCAGTTTGCACAGAAATGGGAAGTGTATATGAGCTCCCACGAGCCTTTATGGTGTGTCTGCACAGCTGTGAGTGGCTCTTGGGTGAGCCCACCTGTGCTGGTTTGGTACAGTTCCTACAACTGACCCATGAACTGGAGATGCAGTGATCGTTCCCATAAGGAATGTCTTCTTGTTACCAGACCAGCTAAAGATCCTGCCCCAGTTTCTCTGCTGTTCTGATTCCCAAATTAATTCCATAAAGCTGAGAGAAGCATCTTTTATTTCTGTTCCTGTAAGTGGAGTTTAGTTTTGCTGTATGAATGGATCTCCTCTAGGCGCAGGAGTCTGCAAATGGAGAGAGGCAGGGCCACATTAAACCTAGAGAGTTGGTCAGTAAAACATGGTGGGTTTTTTCTTTATAAAACACTGCAAGCATGTGCATATTATTATTCTGTATGACCTCATTAAAAAAACCCAACCAAAACTGACTGATTCAAACCTCCTTGTTGTTGATGAATTTGGCATTTTGACTCAGTATTTGAGCGTAAGGACCCATTTACCTCAGGTTTAGTTTGATGTGTAGGTTTCATGGTGTTGAGTTGGTGTCAAAATGTTGGAGTTAGCTTATTTTTATGTTGAGAGACAGAGTTGGTACAAAATGAGATTTTCATTATTCATCTTCACCATGGCTCCTGCTCTTCATGCATTTTCTGTCATGCACAGAGGTGTTTGAGACATCTGTCAAAGATGAAATACCAGGGGGGCTGGAAGCAGGATGTTGTAATTTATGTTTATTTCAGTACTGTTTCTCTTATTTAAAATGCCACTTTGTTTTCAAGTAGTGGATATGTTATGGTGTACATTGTTGTAGTTCTCCCCATACTGATTGTAGTGTCATCTACAATGCTAATCTGCACAATGCACAGCACAGCTTCTCTCCTGGGCACACAGCGTTCTCAACCAAATTCATTTTCATGCCTTTTAATTGAATAATAGAAGGATTCTTTAGACCTTTATTTGAAATGTCTCACAGGGGAGGAGGAAGCTGAAGTAACAAAAATAAATAATGCATATATCTACTGTGTTTTGGCAACTAAAGGGAAAAGTGTTTGAAAATCCAAAAGCCTTGATTTTTCTGAAAAATTCATGTAGGCTTTTATTTGTGTGAAAGTTGAAAGCCACAAAATATGAATTTGTTTAAGAATGTGCTGTAGTTTCTGTCTCATGCAATTTCACAGTGAAATGAAAAGGCATAAAATGATCTGTCACTTTCATATGCACATTTGTATCTTTTGATCATGTTTCTGCACAATATCTGAAACAACCCTTCTATTAAAAGACACTACTTACAAGAAACAAAAGGTTATTAAGTGCTGTGAAATAGCATTTTATGTTAGAAGCATCACATTTGGTGGTACTTTCCAGTGGAAAGGGAAGACAACTGTTACAGTTGAAACCAGCTGAATAGCCTTTGTTGTAATGGATGCTTCTCTTGAGTAAAAAATAATGCCACAACGATTTTATTTCATTTATTTTTATTTCATCATTCTTGTTTTTTAACTTTCCCTAGATGAGACAAGGGGCTTTCCTGGTCAACACAGCTCGAGGTGGGTTAGTAGACGAAAAAGCACTTGCACAGGCCCTGAAGGAAGGAAGGATACGAGGGGCAGCCTTAGATGTACATGAGTCAGAACCATTCAGGTGCTTTTCCTTTTCTTTTCTTTTTATTTTGTTCTCTTTCTTATTTTTTAAGTCTTAGTGCATGATACAATCAACAGCAAAAAGTAAAATTGAGTTTTCTGTTAATTTGGTAGCTAAATACTCCTTAGCAAAGCAACATGAATCTGTGCAGCACTGGACTAATGCAAACGTAGGTGGAGTTTTGTGTATGTGGTTAGAAGTGAAAAAAGTGACATCCAAGATTTCATTCCTTAAAAAGAAAAAAAAAACAACAAACCAAAAACAAAACCAGTGGGTTTATTTAGTAGAAATAGCAGGAACCCGAGTTCAAATCCTGTCCATGGCTTAGAGGAGAGTGCAACATTGCCACTGATGCAGCTCTGGAGGCAGCTGATGCCTGAACAGGGTCTTTCAAAGGCAAAGAGTTGAGATGTGGTGTGAGAAGTGCTTTATGACACCTTTCTGAAGGAGAAGATATTTGTCCAGATTGCCTCTGCGTGAAGGTCATAAGTGTGTAAGAGGTTGCAAAAAAAGGTTCAGGAAGGCTGTCAGAGTGCAGGTTTTGTTTTGCTTTATCTTTTATAAGGGGAGTAGTAAATACTGTCAGTAGCAGGGCTGGTAGCACAAGCCTGAGTTTTTTGAATTACTAAGTCCAGTGTTTCAGGCAGAAATGCACCACTCCCCTAAGTGGCATTGGCATTGAGATATCAGCACTCCTCATCAAAATGAGCCTATTTCATATGTCCTTGAGTCTTGAGAACAGACTGCTGTAGCTTAGTCCTTGCATGTGACTGGCCTTTTTCAGGCTGGGCAGGGAAAATTGTTATTTTTAACTTGAACAATCCACATAAGTTTTTGAAGAAGAACAGGTTCAGGACAGGTTTTAAAGACCGTAGAGTGGACAGTATCTCTCATTCCAGCTTGAGGGGGAAATAGAACCTTTGAAAAAATAGAATAATATCCTTTTAGCCAGAATTTTCATATCTGCTGAGGCATGATGCCACATCACAAATACTTAATTTTATTTATGCATACCCTGTATTCATTTACTCCTCAAGGTAGTCATTACAGTGCTGTGCAAAGCCAGAGTGTAGCAGCTCAGAGGACTTGCAGCTACATACATTCTTCCCAGTTCCTATCTGGGATCTGTACAAGCAGCCCACTGCACCTCTAGGAAGTCCCATTTCCTGCATGGAGATGCCATGTGCAGAGATCCAGCTGCAGGATTGCAGCCATAGTTTCCTTTGGCTTCATTGCTGCATGTCTATCTGATTGCAGCATGCAGCTCTTTAATTCAAGAGTTTTGCCAGATACTTTGATGTTTATTGAACTACAGATAAAATTTATCATTTTATGAAATATGACCAACTCTGAAAGCATACTTTTGTCTTAAAATGTTTGGCCTCCTGTTACAGTTGACTGCAAGATTATTAAAACTGGAAATGAATAGGAGGAGCAAGTTTCCATTATTTTCAGTTTCTCTACTTTATATCTGTGATAACACTTCTACACAGATTCATTACTTTCCCTGAAAAAAAATCTGTAGATTTCCTTCTTTCTGTGGAGTTTCTATAAAGGAATGTGAAAGAAAAAATAGTTAAAAATAAAAGAGAAAAACCCCTGAATTATCCAAAAGTCATTGCGGCTGCTGATGGACACACTTCTGATTTGGAAATAATTGTAAGATTTTTTTCTTTCAATTATTAGATGTCATACTGACAGAAAGAGAAGAGCTTTGGTAGTTAAAGCAATAAAAGTAAAATTGTGATATCCTAGGCAAATGGAATGGCATCCTAAATTAATTTGGATTTTTCTTTATGCATTTCTGCCCCAGAACTGGAGTGGCAGTGACTGTAGTTACAGTAAGTGCATTGGACAGAAGCTAATGTTGCTGCTATACTTAAGTTGCTCCCTTTGAGTCTCTAAAAAGTGATTGTTGCTTATTTGCACCCTAAATAGTACATTAAATTAACAGAATTATAAACAAACTCAGTAAGGAATAGAAATGCAATTATTTTGTGTTGTAGAAATTAATCTGTGTATGTACAAATCCATCTGTGTATATACAAGGTGTGATTCCCCACCTTGCTTTCCCCCTTGCCCCCAATATTTTTTGTCATCTCATCTTATTTTAAATTTTCATTTAGCTTTAGTCAGGGCCCCTTGAAGGATGCACCAAACCTGATCTGTACCCCACATGCAGCCTGGTATAGTGAACAAGCCTCCATTGAGATGCGGGAGGAAGCAGCACGAGAGATCCGAAGGGCGATCACAGGTACTGACTCACGTTGTTATTGTCAGCTCCTTCACTGTGTTGTTCTTTTTAAGAAACCTATTTCTTCAGTCTTGAAAGAAGCCTAAAAGAAGCAGCCTTGGGTTTTGTTTCTAGTATTTAGAATGCAGAAATCAGCAAATGCTCACTAAGTCCGTTCTCAGAATTGGAACAAGTAATTTTGGAGGTTCTTTGCAATTAAAAAGGGAAGGTAGGCATTGCAGAATAAGTATTTTTTTCATGTAAAGTAAATATATTTATACATGAAAAATCGTCTGCTTTTTTCTTTGTTGCATATAACTATTACCCATTGATGGATTTAACTGCAAGCCCTCGTGGTATTTCTGGTATCTTCCTTAGCTTTTCCTAGGCACTCTTTTATACTTGTCATGAGCAGTTCTCTATGTAAAGTTTTAAGTATTTTGTTGGGAGGTTATTCTATTTTAGATGTTCCCCTCTTTAAAGCCTTGCTAAAGAAGTCTGGCATTTTAAAGGGCAGAGTGTCTTTGTTATATAACTGCCATGTAATTGTAAACTGCTCACATAAGAGCAAACAGCTACGTCTCGAACATGCACTGCTAATAAATAAAATGAGAGGACTGAGCCATTTGGCATGGGTTTGAATCCCTTGTAGCCTAAAATAAAAGGAAGCATTTTCATACTGGAAAATGATTCATTAAGCACTAATGTTTTCTCTTCAGTTGGACTTTGCTGTGTCCCCCTTGGCGATACCGTCTGAATGCTCTGCAGACATGCAGGGCCATCTGTGTCACCTTGAGAGTAGCTCAGTGCCAGCACATTGCTCTGTTACACAAAAAGCACTGGCAGTAGCCTTCCCTCTGCCTTGTGCCTAGAGAGGCTGGGCAATTGAGTTTCATTTATAGCCTTTGCAGAAAGAAGATTCTCTTCTGGATGCCAGTTAAAAACACCTCTTAAACTCCTGAGGTGAATTGTCCTTTACTGGACAATTTCACTCTGTTTTAGAGGTGACTGAAGAGCCTGACCCTCCTTTTTGCTGGAATTGGTCCTTGTGGCTGTACTCCAGAACTCAGTGGTGCATTTGTTTGTTTGTTTGTCAGGGTGTTCAATAACTGTTGCCTGCTCCCAGATAGCTCTGGGACAGATTGAACAAACCAACATCCTACCTACCTTCATGGGAGAGGATTGATGTGCAAATCAGCATTAATAGGCTATTGTCTGAAAACTAAGGAAGAGCCTGCTATCCAGAGCTATTTTTCTGTTAAATTTGTGCAGTAGCCCAAGCATATGTGCCTGGGAAGGCAGACCTACAGTTCCTTCAAGTGTGTGATAGTGCTCTCAGCGATCTGGATCATTGATTTGTATCGAAGCTGTCAGCACTTCAGTGTTTGCATATGGTTTTTAGTAAGATCAAACTGAGACCAGCATTAAGGAGGTGAGAATGACATTGAATTGCAGTGAAACAAATGTAGGAAAAATACAGGAAATGTGGGATAAAGCTGGATATATGAAAACCATAGGGGAGCACAAAGAAGAGAGGGTGTAGAGAGGAGAATAATTGGAAAAAGGTGTGAAGTGTAGGAATGAAGGCTATGACTACCATCTGACAATAAACATGTTAAGTGTTTCTGCTGTTGCTTAAAAGTGTGTTGTTGTGATGTGTAAAACAGAAATAATCAGCAGAAATTAAATACCTTAAAATATACTTTAAACTTGAAAACATTCCAAGTATGAATTAAGGAGGACCACTAGAATGGATAGATAGGAAGTAAGAGATAGGCAAGCATGGCAAGTGAAAAGATTATTAGAAGTTTAAAATAAAATCTGCTGGGTTTTGGGGGGAGACTAATAGAACATGCTTACAGAAGTTAGCAGAATGAAGAACGAGTTGGGCAGAGAGGAAGACAAGATTGAGAAGGATAAACATCAGAAGAAAGTGTTTGAATTTGTGGACAGTTCTGGCAGAAGTTTAGATGGATGTATATTTCAGCTACATTTTGAAGATGATTTCTATAATGGGGCATGTATTTTGTTCAATCCTGAGCTAAAAGCCCTTTCAGCTTGTGCACAGGAGACGTGACAGGTTCAGGGACATCAGCTGAAGTCATGGAGTAACACCTGTTTGATGGTGTCCATTGCACGAAAAGCAGTTCTGTGAAAAGGCTTCTTTACAGCCCCATTGTGGCCAGGCTGATGGACAGAAAGAGCAGGCAGGGATAGTGAAGTCCTTAATCAAATTTCCAGTAGGAAGCTGGAGACAGAAGGCTGAGTTCTTTAATGATGGAGCATGAAAGGGTTTGGAAGGAATTCTGGAGAACTCTTACCAGCAGTGGCAGGGGTGGATTCAAAATTACATTTTTCTGCCCCTCTCTGCAAATGCACTGTAAGATTGAACTTCAGTGAGGAGACATTAAAACAGATGTCAGAAGAAACATGCTCCAACATGATCTGTGTTGGATCTGCTCAGGTCATTTGTTGCAGGGCTGAAGATAGTTCTGCAGAAGACAGTAACAGGCTTGTCCAGTGTGTGCTGAATCAGGTTGACAAATTTTCCAGGTCTTAAAACTTCAGTTATTCTTCAGAGGTTAAGGAAAGGTTTTGAAGAAGTGAAGATAGGAAATTCTGGTGTATTACCATTTTATGTGGGAACTAAAGGCATGGCTGAGGATTAATACATTGCAGTAAATAAAAATGAAGAGCAATTTAGATAAAGGAGGGAAAGTTCAGGAGGAGAGGGAATAAGTGTTGGTCATATTCAGATTCATGGCACAATTCCATTCAGAATTCTCTATATTTTTCATTCAGTGTTTTTAATTGCTGTTACAGGTGGAAGGAGAAGGAGGCAAGTGATGTTAAGGACAGAAAGGAGGCTAGATTTCTGAATTTGACTGGTAGCTATGCTCTATATCCAAATTATGGCTTCTTGGAAAGATGATTCTTACTGATTTTGGTTCTTCTGAGACCCTGTATACAATAGATGAAGAAAGACCAGAAAATCAAAATAAAGCAGAGCATTTCAGCCATTATTACCTAAGTCCCAGGCAAAAGGCTACAGCAAGGATCAGAAACAAGCTCTTAGTGTCATTTTATGTATTGATTTAAGTGCACAAATATTTGTAAGCATTTTTAAGATAGACATACTAAGAGTATATGGTACACAATTTTTATACATTTTTATTTCCTCTTCCTTGCTTCATCTTAGGTCGTATTCCAGACAGTCTGAAAAACTGTGTTAACAAAGATCACTTGACTGCAGCTACACATTGGGCCAGTATGGACCCTGGAGTTGTTCATCCAGAGCTTAATGGTGCTGCATACAGGTAAGTGTGCTGAAGAGGTAGAACAAATACATCCATAATGCAGTGTTGGTATTCAAGAATAGATAAAAGACTTTCCTATTAATGATTGAAGTGCTTTTGCATTACACACCAGCTGTAATTGCTTTGCAATAGTTGTGTTCAGGAGAATAATCTTGTTTTGTTAGTTGATGTCAGTCATGCTGTGTCTAACTATGAATCCTCCTCTTTCAGTCTTTTTTTGATGGTTTTGATGTGAGCAATATGTATTTATTTGTATATTCAAGTAAAACAATTCTGGTCTTCTCCAGTGTTGCAGTGGAAGTGTTATGTTCCTTTGCCGAAGGTAATGATGCAGCTGTAGGTTACAGAAAGACTTTCAGTAATAAACTTACATTGTTTGTGGCGTCCAGACACAGGAGAGAACAAGTAACTCAGTATTGAAAACAGTGCAACAGCCTGTGGTGATTATGAAAATATGTTTAAAATGGCTTTTTCTAAATTATATGTTTAATTTTTAAACAGAGGCATTTGAGAGACTTGATGTATGCATTCTCAGTCAACTGTGAAAGCAGGTCTTAATAATTAATAGAAAGGGGCAATTTTTTACATCTAATATGCACATTCCTTAGTTATTTGGTTTGCTCTAGAGTCTTTCTCCGTCCCTTTATCTCTAGCAGCTATTCTAGCAGCAGATCCTTCCTAGTAGCCAGCTTTAGACAATTTTTATTTATGAAAAACATCTGCAGTTTTTGTATTTTCCAGTACAATTTTTACACATAAGTAGGATGAAAGTGGCAGATAGCTACAAATGCCAGCTTCCCTCAATGCCTTGAGGAAAGGGGCAGTGCAGTCATATCTCATTATCCTAATCATCATCTTCCCACTGTCCTTCCTCATGCATCTGCTTTACATTTGTTGTCCTTTAGGAGGACTCCCATATTTTTAGTAGAGAGGGGATTCTTGGTTTTGTGTTACTCCACATGGGAACCCAGCTGTGCCCTGCTGAGAAGTGAAGCAGAGTTATCCTGTCCCAGTGACTTGGAATAATCTGATCAGAAAGGGATGGAGGGGTGTCAGGGATGAGTGTCACCACCCTCTGCCACAATCCCCTCATCAGGAGCCATAAGGGCGCCAAGGGAAGAGAATAACTTGGATTTGGTGATCACATCAGTTGATGTTTAGTTCTGGAAGTATGCCCATAGCCCTAAGTATCTAAGAAGGGTGTTTTTATTTGTTTAAATGAGAAGCTCAAGCACACGTTCTCCTCCACACAGCATCTGGTTTCATGGACTTCAGTTTGGAGTAGTGAGGGTATGGCTGAATGTAATTGAGGCTTAAAGGCAGGTGTTGCTGGACAGGAGGTAATAACTCCAGCCCTGTCATGGCAGTTAAGAACAGGGGTCCATGCCCAAATAAAATGCAGCTTTTTGTTCTTGTTTTGGGGGTCACAAGTCCAGCAGAAGTAGGCTTTGCAGCCAGAAATTAATTTTAACTTAGGAATGTTTGGGGGAGTTAATGATTTACAAGATAAAGACCATATGTATTCAATTTAAGCAGGATAAACATAGCAGAACTGAGTAGCTTTTAAAGACATTGTTTCAGTCCATTTTTTTTTTTGATAAAGACCATTTATTGTAAAATTCTGATTTAATTACTTCCAAATGCAAAGTAAAATTAATTTTAGTAATTTTGAGGCAGGAGTTAATAGTTATACAATAAATGTTAAGAGCTTTTTGGAGAGGAAATGGAATAGTGTTTGAATGTGGGTAAAGGCAGTTACTACTGTGTGAAGTGCAAAATATGCATCACCGAAACTCAGGTTTTATGAAGAAATTGGTTTCAATAGCAGTATTTGCTGATGCTTAATTCCTACCTGGATTAAGTTCAGCATTTGAATTGATTATTCAAACAAATTTTTCCATGTTTTCTTTGCAATCCAAGATTATGTTTAGCTAAGTGAGTTCTGGAGTCTTTCACAGACAGTACAATGTTTCAGATGTGCTAATAACTGTATCATACTCATGTAATTGCATTAGAAGATAAGACCTGGGATAATAATTGATATGTTAAAAAATGCAGATATCTCTTTTGGTGAATTAAAGCTAGCGAGGCTGTTTTATTTTCGATACATAATTCACTTGTATTTTGATGTAGGACAGAAATCCCAAATTATCAAATATTATCACAAGCCAAGGACATTAAGCATTAGTCAGCAGATTGTAATCTACATCATCTGAATATCATCATATTCTGGGGAAAACAAAACCATTTACTGTGCAAAATGCAAGACACCCTGTCAACACTAAAGGTCATGCAAACAGGACCTATCCCATGAGTAAAGATCAGCATTACTCCTGAGAAGGAATTATTTGTAGTGGTCTTGGTGAAGCAGCATAACATACCCTGATGTTGTGTTATTACCATGTATCTATTACTGAGCTGCCTGTGAAATAACTCCCTGCCTATAACCCAGGCAGGTCACAGGCACAGGGAAATGCAGCAGCCAGGAACACTGGTTGTGCCATATATAGACATTTCCCACATCTGCCTGCCTCCCTACAGGTAGTGGATAAGGCTGGATATGGCTCTGAGCAACCTGGTCTAGTGGAAAGTGTCCCTGGCCATGGCAGGGAGTTGGAACAAGATAATCTTTAAGGTCCTTTTCATCCCAAACCATTCCATGATTCTGTGAATTCCTTAGTACTGAAGAGGTACTTGAATAAGCATGGCTGGATGTTGGAAATTCAGGACTTATTTCATGTTGGGGTACTTCACTGATGATTTTCAGATTCTGTGCATGATAAGAGTACACTTAAAAATTGCATCTCTTCTAGGACAGACTCAGTTTCTTTAACAGAGCTTAATATAGTGAGTTCAAGGTGTTTCTCCTGTTTAAAAGGTAGATGAGAGTAAAGTAGAAATAAGAGTTACCCATCTGTTGTAATTAAGAGGGCAACTATTTTTCCTCTTAAGACTACATAAGGGGAGGAGATGGAAGAGTATGAATTAACAGAAGAGGTATAACTGATTGCTCACTTCTGCTTTCACAAAGATTTAGTTCAGTGGACATTTTACCTGGAAATCATTTCAACTTACTGCTGCCAGAGGAGGAACTTAGAGGGGAGCTTCATGAAGTGCTGGAGAGGATGTATTTGCTGGTTAAGAATAGAAAAAATTGAAAGACTAGAAAAGCAATAAAGAGCAGCAAAAGGGAAAGTTATGTAGAATACATATGCTCATGGGTAGAGGCTTGAGTTTATGTGCCCTTTCAGAGACAGGATTTGAGCAACACTGATGATGAAAAAGAGACAAAAATTACAGAAAGAGGATTGCAAAGCAGGGTTAGGAGTTGTCAAGTAAAGTGCAGTTTCTATGGAGCAGTATGGTATCTGTATATTGGCTGCTGCCACTGTGTAACTTTAGGACAAGAAAATCAATTATAGGGCCTCTAGATGTTACTAAAAGTCTGTAGGAAACCTGTAGCTGAAGTGAGGTGCTGGCAGGTAGAATCCTGGTGATTAAGACTTGGTGTCCAAGGAAATGTCCTTATATACAGAAAGGATATTTGGAGTCAGAGTAGAAATAGAGATGTTTGAAATGTTTAATGTGCTCATAAGGTAACTCTTGGTGCTCCTGATCGAGCACTGTCAGTTTTCACAAGGGGAGGCTCTGGCTTTTCTTCTTGAGGAAAAAACAGTTGCAGAAGTTGCTCTGTTCTTGACTTTTTTCCCAGTTCTGGTGTGTTGATACTCAGGGAATATGTTGTTAGAAAGTAGAGATTGTGTGTTGAGAGCAGCTGCAGTGTTGGACTTTTAAATGGAAATTTGTGCCATGTTGTGTGTCTTGCACAGCATCTAGAATAACAGAAAAGCTGTTTCAAAATTAAATTTAGGTAAAACAATACTGTCTGACAGTTTTCATAGGCATTGAAGCAAATTTGATTAATAAGATTCAAATGGAGTTACTGAAACAAGCAACTAATTCCATTAGCAACTGCAAATTAATTCCAAAGAACCTCTGTGGAGAGGGAATTAGCATAGGAAGCCCTGTAAATATGTGTCCAATTGGGAACAAAGTTATCTGGCCTACAGGTGGTGTGATCAGTCACAGCCTTGGTACCCATCCCAGATTACAGTCAGTGTTGTGGTGTGTAGGATGACCAGACCAGTGTGTGGTGTCCCTGTTGTCCCTGTGCCATGTCAGTCCTGCTGAGCCCCTCTGGCTCCATGTTTCCAAAAGTGGTTCCCACAATGTTTCTGTGGGGGAAGCAAAAAAACAAGTCAGTGTGCTTGCATCCAGCCTTTTTCTCCCGAGTCTTGCCTAACTTCTGCATTAATTTTCTGGCAGTTTGAGGGAACTTGGGATGAGCAGCACAAACATATTACCATGGGAAAGATGCAGAAATGGGGTGAAATTCCCTGATGCATGGAGCTGTGATGAGGAGAAGATCATCAACAGCAGAATAATATACTTGGGAAAAGTTTGATGAGTGCCTTTGGTCCCAAGTAGTTCTGGGTAAATACTTGGGTAGCAAAAGCTGCAGTGAGTGGTGGGTTTTTGTGTTCAGGCTTTCAAATGGATAATGCCCTCAGCAGGATGCTTGGGTGGGGCAGAGTACAGCAGAAGAGAATGAGGGAAATGTGGGATGAGTGGACAACTTCATGATGAGGAGGGGAGGCAAAGGTTCAGTGCTAAGTGGCCAGTGTGGCATAACTTGCATTAAATAGGTATTGAGGTATTTGACTAAAAAAACCCACCTATTTTTATTAAATCAATGTGTAGGTTTTTTTTTTTTTATACAGCACATGAAGTACCAGTGTTCATCAATTACATCTGAAGTTTATGATTGGAACAGTAGATTTGCAAAATTTTTTTTAGCCTGTTGACATCAGAGCCATCATAAAATCAAGCTGAATCAGAGCATGATTCTTTTGTTGAATGCATAAAATATATAGGCCTCAGTGTTTGTCCAAATAGAGGAAGAAATATTTTAAATCATCCATAAATTTTGTGTTTCCATCTCTCTTTCTTGCAGTCTGCCTAAAGTACTTGTCCTTCTGTAACTAGCACTGGTTCTCCTTCAGACAAGTGCAGTGGCAAGTTTACTGCTGAAAAAGTTACTCAGGTGCAATAGGCTTGACTTTGTCATCTTATGAGTGTGTGTGTGTGTGTGTGTGTGAGATGGCTTTTTGGGGGAGCTGTCAGGAAGCTAAGACTACAAAAATAGTGTAAAGAAATCTTTTTTTTCAAACCGCAACAATGAAAATTTAAAATTCCTACATGAGACTGAAAGAGGAAAAAAAGGAAAAGTTGTAGAGAACATATTGCATGGACCCAACTGGAATTGCTTTTTGTTGAGGTTATGCTTTGAGAGGAGCAAACCTTGAAGGTGGTTTCCTTTGCTGTGCTGTTTCTCCTGCTGTTAAATCTGAAGAAACAATCTGACAAAGTTTCATGTCTCATTTGGTTAAAATACAGCATCCATTGCTTTATGTAGCAGCGTCTGCATGTGGCATCTCGCCTGGAGCTGAACCCCTTGACTCTCTAACTGGTCTGAAAGCAAAAGCCACATCTCTGTAGCTCTAGAAGGAGGCAGGGTGGGCTCTCTGCTCAGTCAGCTCCTGGTTTTAATGTCTGCTCTGGTTTCTCCTCCCAGCAGGTATCCCCCGGGCGTTGTCAGCGTGGCTTCCACTGGCATACCTGCAGCAGTAGAAGGAATAGTCCCCAACCCCATGTCTCTATCACACGGCCTCCCTGCTGTAGCCCACCCGCCCCATGCTCCTTCCCCCGGCCAAACTGTCAAACCAGAAGCTGATAGAGACCACCCGAGCGACCAATTGTAGCCAACAACAGCATTCCCAGCGCCGGAGACTTCAGCCGCAGCGTGGAAAACAACACAACACAAAACAAAACCCTGGATTTTGATTAAAGGCAAAACCATGAACTTACAGGAGGAGACGATTATTGGTTTAGAAACTGGTCCAATATACAGTATAAAAGGAAAAGGTGGGAGACAAAAAGAAGATTTGGAAACATTTTTTCCTCCGTATAAATTGTAGTTTGTCCCTGTCCAGTGGACTGATTCACTGTTTCTGTGTCCTATGGGTTCTTTGTTAAGCAAGAGAAGTTAGTAGTTAATTATATCATGAATGTACTTGTCTGTGTACAGTTTCTAGAACATTAAAAAGGGTTTGTTTGCTTAGCTGTCAACAAGGAAAAACATAAGGGAGGCATTCAACAAACCAGTTTTGAGATTAAAAATCCTTTCTTTTATATTTTCAAACATGCCCAAAAATGAGGCAGTTGGCAAACTTCTCAGGACAATGAATTTTTCCCATTTTTCTTTCTACGCCACACAGTGCATTGTTTTTTCTACCTGCTTGTCTTATTTTTTAGAATAATTTAGTAAACAAAAGAAAAACAGTTTCTCCTAATTTTGGCATGAGTTCCCTTATTTCAAAATGAAGACAACCTTGCAAAGAGATTTTGAGGAAAAAAAAAAGGTTTTGTATAAACGAGCATTGTGCTTTTTGTCACCAGTTAAAGTATATATTATTGGTGGTATCTGGAAAAGGCACTAGACTACTGAAAAGTAGCAGCATTTCATTGCCTACATTGATTCCTTCCTGGTAATGTGGTAGGCTAGCAATATTTTTGGTTAAAATCATGTTTGTGACTGTAACCATTTGTATGAATTATTTTAAAGAAATAAAAATCCCAGACAAATATCATATGTGTAAAAATTTTTATTTCTAGTAACTGTTTATTCAACTTTTATTAGGTTTCTTAGCTGTAATTTTTAAACAGATGCTGTCAAGTATTTCATTTCTAGCTTTACTTTGCTCTCTGTTGTTTGTAATACTGTCTTGGAAGCTTGAAAAATAAAAAAAAAATAATTCTTTCCATACCATTTTTCCCTTTACATTTCGTAAATGTTGATCTTTTTTCCTGTGTTTCTAATGGAGTTTGAAATTAAGATGGATTTTGATTTGTACACCGGCATCATCAGCTACAATGTGGTAACAGCATTTATGCCACCACTGTGGGCAGAGCAGAGGAGGTACAACAGCAACACAACAACAACAGTAATAATAATAATAATAAATGTCTTTTGCCGAAGTCCAACATGAGAAGTGTCCATTGTTTTATTTGCTTCTGTGATGATGGAAGGCTGCAGCAGGATGTAATTGTGTTTGCTTTATTGAAGGAGTTTGTTCTTTGAGCACAGGCACAAGTGTGTTCCAGGCAGGTTAGATTCCAGCTGGATTCCGTTCCAACATTTCCTGTGCTCCTGGGGAAGGTGTCCTTCATCCCTGCAAAGTTTAAAAAAAAAGACAAAAGTTTAGCTGCTTCAGGAGGGAAATCCATGGTGGGCAAAACTGAACTGAACCTCCTTTATGGTATGTTGTCTCTTTTTTCACTATTAGTCTGAACAGAGCATCCACCTGAAGTTAGGTGAGCTGGTTTTATGGGATCTGTGAAAAGTTTTGGCCCTCATTCATGCAGTTCTGCAGAGCAGCCTCCACTTCACTTTGGGAAAGGGAAGAGGCTGCAAATTTGTGGTCTCTATGCAGGGAGCACTGTGTACAGTGAAATTTTGTCTATGGAAGAGAGGAAGTTTTTTGCCTTGAACATTTAGAGGTAAAAATGTCATCCTTTTCAATTTATTTGATGGAAAAACAGTTTCTGTTCCCTCTGAAAACAGCCCTTAAAGCTGCAAGTTATCTCAGCAAAGACACTTCTATGAGCTTTGAGGCCAAAAACTTGCAAGAAATCAAATGCAGTCTCCTTCTGTTGAACTAGGATTTCATATTTCTTGGTTAATTCATATTTTAAGATGTTGCTTTTGTCAGACTGAAGTTTCTTCTTTAACATAATGCAAAGACAAACATTTAACATCTGGCTGCCAAGAATTGCTGACAGCCACATTTACAGCCCCATTTCCCAAGGAAAAACCAGGAATGTTCCTTGCATTGTTTGGACATGGCTTGTGTAAGTACATTTTGTTCCTAGTGGATCAATAATTGAAGGAGAAATTGTATTTACTGTCTGCATTTCTTGGGTTCAGTTCAGAAGCATTTGAGCTGTTGTCCGTGCTTGCTCAGACATAAACCTTTTCAGGATTTGAGCCTGAAATGCAGTGTTCAATGTTTTTATGTTGGTGCTGGAGGTTATCTCTGTCTGACTGGAGCAGAGTAATCCAGTTCCTTGCTTTGGAAAGGAAAAACCACCTGCTCAGGGACAAGACTGATGGACACTGACTTTGGGCTATGGTCTGAAAATCTGAAAAGTAGTCAAAAGCCAAACTTGGGGTAAATGACTGATTGGAAAAGTGGCTCATAATAAACAGAAGCCTGTTAAGCCAGAGCAACCTTCTTTTATGACTGCTTTTATTGAGTAGTGGAAATGCAATGAGATTTTCCTTTGTTTGGTGAAGGATGTGCTAAATAAGTGTAGACAGCAGAAGATGCAGTTAGTGGGAAAATACAGAGGGGAGAAGGTGATGGCAGCAGAGGCTACAGGTGACCTGAGGCAGGAGTTTGATCGAAGTACCTGCCTTGAACATGATTTCCTTTTGGTGGCATTATTTGAATTTCAGGTCGTGACAAAGAATGAGGCTAAACATGACAAAAAGGCAACAGCAGGATGACACAAGGCTGTGTGGGGCTGCACAAGAATTTGATGCTGTTCAAGAATGGGCAGAAAGATGCCAATTGTGCAGGTGCAGAGTCAGGTGATTGGAAATCAAACAAAAGCTTAGCAGGAAAAGGACCCAGGGTAGGACTGGTGGATTGGTGCTGTGTGGAGGAGCAGTGTGATGGCAGATTGATCTGGCACAGTGGTTCTGCTAGGTCTGAGAATGGATCAGAGATGTTACACAGGACCTCTTGTATTTGCTGAGCAATTTTGGTCAGGCATTTTCAAAAGACTGAGCTGGAGCTGATGTCATGGGAGAGATGGGCTCTCAAATTCACTGATGGTGTGCAGGACTCAGAGGAGAGGAAATCTGAGTAACTTGATATTTTCAGCTTAAGGCTGAGTTGGGGAAATGGCTATAAGTAACAAATGCTGTGGAGGAAGGAGAAATGTTAAAGAACTGTTGGTACATGACAGTTTAAATGAGGTTAGGAAAAGTTCTCTGTCAACAGGGAATTGCTGGGACTCAGTCCTGAAGTCTCTGCAGCTTGGCTTGGGGTTTTTTTCTGTTTGGGTCCTTTTGTTTTTATAATCCAGAATGTAAGAATGTTGTTTCAATGTTGTTCAAGTTTGCAAGCAAACCAACAACTAGAGGCTTTCTTTCCATTTAGGATAAAACACTTTTCTTTTTAACAAGTTTCAAGGCTTTTTCCCTTATTTCAGGGTTTTGGGGTTTTTTGCAAAAATGTCTGCTTTTCTTGTCTGGTTTCCACCTCAGGTTATTAAGACTGGCTTTCCAAATGACCATGACTGCTGTGATGTGTCTGTTCCCAGCTTGCTCCTTGCCTCAGATAGAAGGATTTTCTCTCATTTCAGTGGATCCATAGTGTTGGTTGTTCTGCTTGAAGGAGAACACAGCACTACCATTTCTTTTATTCAGTTCACTCCAACCTTACTATTTTGTAAATCAAAAAAAGTTTTAAGGGCACAGTGTAGTATTAGATCATTTGTCTGACCACCTAGTAAAGCTGTTAAGTGTGGTATGTGATAAGAGTCTTCCTTAAATGATACCATGTTTTGAATTCAGTAAATCTTTCAGAAAGATTTCTAGTATTTACGTGAAAATGTCAAGTGTTGGGCGTTTTTTTTTTTTTTGCTGTTTCCTTTAGTAGCTTGTTTAAATAAAGGATGACCTTGACTGTAATTTTTAAATGCCTTTATTTAATTTGGCTTTCCCTGACTCTAAATTCCAGTTATTGTTTCATGTTAAACATGAGGTCATGTAGGCTGGCTTGAATTTTGTGAGCATGTCACATTTTAGCCATTTTGCCTTTGTGCTGAGGTCAGTGACACATCTTCCAGGAGGAACAAACTGTATTATTCATCTGTTTTCTTTTCCAGTTGCTTCTATTACACTATCCATCCTTTCTTTATGTCTCTGTATTTTTGCCCTTTGGAATGACATAGTCCAGTATGGTTATCTTCTGCAAATGGAATTTCAGGGTTTCTGATCTCAGTCTTTCAGCTGTTGTCTTGTTCCCTCCATCAGCTTTCCAATTTCCTTGGTAAACTGCTTTCCTTCAAAGTCACAAGTGCTCAAGGAAATTAATTAATCCTCTTCTTTGTCCTTCTTTGCCCAGGTAGCACCTTATTAGCAGCCAGAGCCCCACATTGAGTGGTCCTGCTCCGAGTGCTCTTTCATCCACCATCTGCACACTTGGTGTCTCTGCCTCTTGCAGAGTGGACCTTACCGGAGTCTCAAACTTGAGATCAGCCCCTCAACTTCTGCCTTGTGTCCTTCCTTGTCTCTTTCTAGCCTTTGGGAGACCTGGAATGTTACCCCTAGAATTCTCTTTTCTGGAAGGCAGTTCCACTTCCCATCTGTGAGTTTCAGCTTGACACAGACTCGGCTCTCCTTGGCTGACCTCCTTGCACGCCACCTCACTATAAACCCATGTCATATATTACATTTTTTTATCTGGTTTGGGGTTTGGGATCACCCAGCTGCTCTTTTTTTTTTTATTTTTTTTTTTTTTTTATTTTTTATGCAGATTCTCATCTGGAGTTTCCTTCCTTCATTTTCTGTACCACAAAAACAAATCAACCTCTTCATATCTGGTCTCAGCACTTCACTTTGCCTTTGCACTTCTGCTCAGAGCCATAATGGAGTTCTTTCTTGAAGCAGCACTGTTTGTTCTGGGGGGTCATGATGGTGTCATGGCCACCATAAACAGACTAAAGTATGTCCTTGGGATGATTAGAGGCATTTGGGATGTGCCCAAGATGATGCAGATAATTCTCTGAGCATGCCAGTCCTTTGAAGATATTTGTTACACAATCTTTAACTACACATCTGCCCCCCTTCTTTCATTTGCTGCCTAAAAAGGATAAGGAGTTGCTGGCTCAAGAAATAAAGTAAGGAAGTTTAGGAAAAACCCCAAAAATGTCTCAAAGGTCAAAGATTTAAAGCAATGAAGCAGAGCAAGATCATAGCTTAAATTGCCACAATAACCTTTTATTATGTGTCACATTTGACGTATTAGAAGCAGACAATTATGTGTCAGTGTGACATTGCTATTTATTTGTCTGTGCTGTGTAAACAGAGACCTTTTAAAATTTGGGGACAGCTTACAGAGCTGGCTCCCCAGATAAACTCTGGGAGTTAGGGCAGCAAATCAACATCTAAAAATAAATCTCCTGAGGATCTGACATCCCAGACTTGTGTTTCTAAACCCCTCCAGCCATTTTCCAAGTGTCCCACCCAATGCAGTGGTTTGAATTTACCAGGCAGTTGCCTCCAACACAGCTGTTGGCTCTCCACAGCCTATCCCCATCCCTGGGACCTCGGGAAGCAGCAAACTCCCTCCTCAGCACACCTAAAAGCACCAGAGTAAATCCCATTTAAGTCCCCGCTGCTCGCTGTTCAATAGGGTTTTGGTTAAGCCCTCATGTAAAGCTAAGTCTGTGCTGTATTTTACTGCTCTTAAACCACAACAGAAAGAAAATCTGCTGTTGGTGTTTTCCAGTAACACATTTGCAGTTATCAGCACCAGTGGTTTCCATGTGAAAATGGGGTCAGGGGATTTCCAGCCTCTTCTTGATACAAGTTTTAGTTCATTTTGCTATTTGCTTGCTCATGGTTTTTCAAGGCCTAGTGTATGTGAAGTGTGTTTATTGTGTATGAAGTTCTGGTGATAGATTTTTGTCTCTTAAGTTGCAGCACTTTGTAATTAGCTCCAAGGCCATCACTTCCCATTCTCGCATGGAGTGCCTGTCCTTTGAAACTGATGGCTGAAACAAGGTTGTCAAGTATTCATATTCTGAACAGCTGTAGTTTTCTTTTTTCTCTTCCTCCTGCAGACCAGCCATTTTCAGTGCAGGACACAGTCCTCATATTGCAAGAAGCACAGGTAAGAGTGAAAAACCTGCACTGTGGCTCAGAGCTCATTTCAGAGGTTTTCAACCTCCATAAATTTAAAGAAAAAAAC